CCAGTGCCAGCTCCAGAGTTTCCAGTGCCGGCTCCAGTGCTGTCTCCAGAGTTACCAGTGCCAGCTCCAGAGTTTCCAGTGCCGGCTCCAGTGCCTTCAGTGCTGTCTCCAGAGTTTCCAGTGCCGGCTCCAGAGTTTCCAGTGTCGGCTCCAGTGCCTTCAGTGCTGTCTCCAGAGTTTCCAGTGCCGGCTGCAGTGCCAGATCCAGAGTTTCCAGTGCTGGCTCCAGTGCCTCCATTGCCAGCTCCAGTGCCGGCTACAGAGTTTAGAGTGCCGGCTCTAGAGTTTCCAGTGCCGGCTCCAGTACCTCCAGTGCTGCCTCTAGAGTTTCCAGTGCCAGCTCCATTGCCTCCAGTACTGGCTCTAGAGTTTCCAGTGCAGGCTCCTGTGCCGTCTCCAGAGTTACCAGTGCCAGCTCCAGAGTTTCCAGTGCTGGCTCCAGCTGGGCCCCCAGATCCTCCCTGTTCTCCGTCCGAAGCTCCGCCTCCCTGTGCTCTGTCTAGCCTTCCAGAGCCTGCAGCCGGCCCCAATGGATCCTGGAAAGGCCCATATTATTGAGCCACTGGCTCAATAATACTATTGAGCCAGTGCGTTGCATTCCTTGGCCAGCTGAGAAACGTCGTTATTCATTTGGGACTGTGAATGGACGGGAATTGTCTTGTCTTCTGATCTGCATTAATGTCACTCTCATTCGACAATGCAAACTGTTGTTGGCAATTCTCAGGGAGGTGCACAGAGTTGGAGTTCAGTCAAGGAAATCTGACAGGATTCGTATTGCTAACTTTCTGACGACTCCGTAAAGGTCTGTGAACATTGCTGGTTTTTGTGTCATGTTTGTCACCAGAATACACTGATCTTCTCACATAGGACTTGGAGCAACTTCTCCCTGATCTTGCTTCTGCTAGAGTCTCCTGAACTTCGTGATAAACAGCCTGTTTGTGTTTCTGAAGCTGGGTTCTTTTATTCTTTTGACTTTCACACACTCTTTCCAATTCAATTAAGGAAAGCATGTCTTTCCTTTCAATCTCACAAAGTTCCTTTTTCTGTTGCTGTTTAAATCTGGGAATCCCACGTATCAGTCAGAGACTTGATAGCTGCAGCTTTTTTCTCTTTCTCCAGTTTTTCACGCTTTTGCTGTGCAGATTCCTGATGTTTCATTTCTCTCAATGACTTATCCTCCATAAAAGCCCTTTTTTTAGCTTCTTCCTTCTTTATAAGTGACAGTTGGTCGTACACTATTTTTTTACGTATTTCACGACTTCTGTCCTTATCAGGAATGTCGCAGTCACTCTCATAGTCTAGAAAGCCAGATTCATACTGAACATCTCTTCCTTGCTCAGTAACACTGTGATACATTTCCCACTGCATTACATCTTTGTTGTCCATATATTTTTTAGTCTTGTTCTGTAACCTGTCTGATCTGGGAAGCAACCCTTGCCTTTCAGCCCTTTTCTTTTGTTGGTTATATTGATGTTTGAGTGATATATCAGTTTGATGCAGTCTATCTGACTCCATAGCTTTTTTTGTAAAAGAGAGTCGTAGGCAGCTTCATTCCTCAATATATCCTCTAAATTGTCATCCACAGTCTTCTTTTGGTCTTCCATGTTTGGCTCAGTCTCATCCTGTCTCGAAAAAAAATTCCGGTCTTTCTCTTTTTTCTGTATCCTCATCTCAATTTCCTCAATTTGATGCAGTCTATCTGACTCCATTGTTACAGTTCTGTTGGCAATTCTCAGAATTGAACAATTCTCTATTGTCTGTCTGTCGTTTTTGTAGGGAAACTGGAGCACCCAGAAAAAACCTATTGCCTGTCTGTCTGTCCTTTTTGTAGGGAAACTGGAGCACCCAGAGAAAACCTATTGTTTCAGCAATGCCGATATGGAACTCAGCCCCCACCAATCAATTTGGGACTGCAAATTAATGGGAATTTTACCCTTTTACAGTTCTCTTGGCAATTCTCAGGGAGGTGCAAAGAGTTGCATTTCAGTGAGGGAAGTTTGACAGCCTTGGTGTTGCTGACTTTCTGACGACTCAGTAAAGGTCTGGTTTTTGCGTCGTCGTGTTTGTCAGCAGAATAAACCGATCTTCCCCCACAGTTCTTGGAGGAACTTCTTCCTGGCAGAGTCTCCTGAACTTCGTGGTGGATTATTTTTCTATTTTCACCTCCACACACTCTTTACAATTCAATTAAAGAAAGCATGTCTTTCCTTTCAATCTCACAAAGTTCCTTTTTATCCTGCCATTTAAATTTTATCTGGGAATCCTAAGAATTAGTCAGAGACTTGATAGCTGCAGCTTTTTTCTCTTTCTCCAGTTTTTCACGCTTTGGCTCTGCAGATTCCCAACGTTTCTTTTCTTTCAATAACTTATCCTCCATAAAAGCCCGTTTTTTAGCTTCTTCTTTCTTTATAAGTGACAGTTGGTTGTACACCATTATTTTTTACGTATTTCACAACTTCTGTCCTTATCAGGAATGTCACAGTCACTCTCATGGTCTAGAAAGCCAGATTCATACTGAACATCTCTTCCTTGCACAGTAACACTGTGATGCATTTCCCACTGCATTGCATCTGGGTTGTCCATATGTTTTTTAGTCTCGTCCTGTGTATTCAGTTTCTGCTGGGGATCCTTCTTCTGTCTCCTGGTTCTATTTTCCTCAGCTCGATATCCGGGAAGCACCCCTTGCCTTTCAGTCCTGTCCATTTCCCTCTTCTGTTTCTGTTTATATTGATATCGGGCAGCCAGTTCATCAGCCAGAGGCTTTTGCTTTGGAGTTTTCTTCTCCTGATGATGTGCTTCACGTAGCATTTTGGCAACCTCCTCCTTTGGCCATATTGTTACATAGCTTTTTTGTAAAAGAGAGTCAGAGGGAGCTTCTTTCCTCAATATATCCTCTAAATTGTCATCCACAGTCTTCTTTTGGTCTTCCATGTTTGGCTCAGTCTAGTCTTGTCTCAAAACAAAAATGCTGGTCTTTCTCTTTTTTCTGTCTCCTCATCTCAATTTCCTCAATTTGATGCAGTCTATCTGACTCCATTAGAGTTGGATTTCAGTGAGGGAAGTTTGACAGCCTTGGTGTTGCTGACTTTCTGACAACTCAGTAAAGGTCTGCAAACATTGCTGGTTTTTACGTCATTATGTTTGTCAGCAGGCTGTTTGTTTTGCGGAAGGTTGATACTTTTCCAATTTGCACCTCCACACACTCTTTACAATTCAATTAATGAAGTCATGTCTTTCCTTTCAAGCTCACAAAGTTCCTTTTTCTCCTGCCGTTTACGTTGTACCTGGGAATCCCAAGAATTAGTCAGAGGCTTGATAGCTGCAGCTTTTTTCACTTTCTCTAGTTTTTCACGCTTTTGTTCTGCAGATTCCTAATGTCTCTTTTCTTTCAATAACTTATCCTCCATAAAAGCCCTTTTTTTAGCTTCTTCCTTCTTTATAAGTGACAGTTGGTCGTACACTGTTTTTTTCTTATTTCACGACTTCTGTCCTTATCAGGAATGTCGCAGTCACTCTCATGGTTTAGAAAGCCAGATTCATACTGAACATCTCTTTCTTGCTCAGTAACACTGTGATGCATTTCCCACTGCATTGCATCTGGGTTGTCCATATGTTTTTAGTCTTGTCCTGTGTATTCAGTTTCTGCTGGGGATCCTTCTTCTGTCTCCTCGCTCCTATTTCCTCAGCTCGATATCCGGGAAGCACCCCTTGCCTTTCAGTCCTGTCCGTTTCCCTCTTCTGTTTCTGTTTATATTGATATCGGGCAGCCAGTTCATCAGCCAGAGGCTTTTGTTTTGGAGTTTTCTTCTCCTGATGTTGTGCTTCATGTAGCATTTTGGCAACCTCCTCCTGGGCCATATTGTTACATAGCTTCTTTTGTAAAACAGAGTCGAAGGAAGCTGTCTGGATGAAAAAAAAAACATGAACGCTGTATGTGCTGGGTTTTTACCTTAGAATGGCCAACTTTCTCTTATTCCTATGCCAATTTGATACAGTAGGGGCTTCCACACTTCCCATATCTGTGTCCTCTGTCACTTTTGTCAGCAGTTTAAACTGTTTAATCCGTTGTTAACATGTCGTAACCTGTTTTTCCGAGCTGCCTTTAAACGCTGTGCGGCAGAGAAGGAGACCTGCTGCTGCAGTAGAGCTACTCAGGTGTGTTAGAATCAGGGGTGGATCTAGAAAAATATTAATGGGGTGGCAAGAGGGGGGCAGGGATTACGTCTTTCATACTCCTGCTAATTGATATGTATTACTGGATTGGACAGCGCCTGTTGGTCACTATGTGATTTAGTGTGTCCAGAAAACCATTTTATCCCAATACAAGACAAGGAGAAATCTGACACGAAAATATTAGTAGCGTCACTATTTGTTATAAAGATTAGAAAACTGATGTTTGATAAATTCTCCATGATACAAATCTATAAACAGTTTAGTTTCTGTTAGTTCTGTCAAGATGCAAGAAGGGGCAAATTTCTACTTATATTGGTCAATCGTTTTATTTTAAATATGCTGAGGAGCCCTAGTTTGATGACTGTTAAAAATATCACCACGTTTTGCAAACAGAGGGGATTAGCTCAGTTTTTGTCGCTTGTTTTTAGGAATTGCAGCAGCTGCAGTGCGCCACAATAAAGCTACAATAAAGCTGATAAA